TATTTGTCCCCTTTCAGTGCCCTGGTGGAGTTTCTTAACTGGGTTTGTTCCAGAAGATGCACTTGAAGAGGAGTAGAGGAGGGGTTTTGGGAGGTGTGAGTCTGATGGGTCCTGTTGTAAGGCACATGAGGAAACTATCCATACCTCTGGGTACAGTGGCTCTGCTCCATCTTGGGCTATGTGCTGCCAAAGCAAGGACCCGCTCCATCTGGGGACACGGGCGTGTTTGGATGCAGCAGGATTCATCCCCTGGCCACTAAGGTTGCTGTCACACTGCTCTACCTGGTCCTCTCGTGTCTCCTGAAGGACCAAGGCTTTCTTACTGGGGGTCAGCAAAGGCATGGCCTTGGACTTGGAAGACAAAAGTGTGCACCTCAGGTCAGTGCTGGGTCAGGCCCCACATTTCATGCCTGTGTTTCCGTGTATGGAAATTGAGAATGAAATCTGACTGTTCTGAAAATCACATGAGAGTCTCCAGCAGTGCTGGATTAGTGCCTCACACCTGGATTCAGTCACCAGGTTTCACGCATAAGTGCTACTTTTATATCCTGATTCTTACCCACCGACATTGTATCTCGATGCTCCTCACACAGCAGCAAAATGAGTGTTTTGGCTGAGACTCCAATGCTGTGTGCCTCAGTTGGGAGTTGATGCATGTGGTCATCGATGAGCTCCCCCCTGGTCCCACCACGTACCCTGCAGACCCTTCCTGTCTGCCCTGCCTCCGAGCAGGTGCGCTTTTCCGTGGAAGTTGCTCTCCTTCCCTAGACTCTGTTTCTCAGACTTCTCCTACCCCTCTGGACTTGCTTTCTTCCTGTGACCCCTCTGTCCCTCCAGCTGACCCCTTAGTCTCATGCCACAGCCCCCCTTCCATGATTTTTATATGTGACTTAGAATATCCTGGTGGCCCCGGGCTAGTGTGGCCCCAGCTGAGACTGAGCCTCAGACTGGAGTTCTTCCTCAGTTTACTTTCCTCATCAGAGTCAGGCAAAAATGCAGATCTCCCATGTTAGAAGGATTGTAATGCACAAGACAGATTACCGTGATTTTCTTGCTTAACAGTTCATAGCCCAGACTTCACCCAGTGGACCTCTTCCCTTTGTCCTTCTGTAAAAGCGACAAGTGAGCACTTGAGAGTCAACTTGTTGGTTGGGCTGTGTGGGCAGCACGGGATCTTGGCTCAGCGCCCCGTTCCCTGGCTGTAACACAGATATAACAATAGGCCTATTTCTTGTTGAGTCTTTTTAGAATGAACTAAGATCAGTAAAGTTCCTGGAACAGTGCGCAGGGGAGTTTAGTAGCACAAGCGGAAGGACTAGAGACGGTGGAGATGGCCTGGCCCTGGCCATGGTGGCGGAGATCAGCAGCAGGCCAAGGGGTCTGTGGGTGCCCCAGCAACTCAAGTCCTGCCTCAGTGTCTCCATTTGTGTATGACAGTTACTTATACTCCACAGTTAAAAGACCACAGAAGTCTTTCAGTAGGAGTCCCTTCCTTTAGAAGATACTGGAATCTTCCCTGTCCCCTGGGCCTTCTGCATTACAGGAAAAGAAGCCGGACAACTCCTATCCGAGCTCCAGGCCTCTGAGTCTTGGCTCCTGTCACCTCGGCCTCCCCGATGGCGCTTCCTTCTGCCCCAGGTTTGTACTAAACTCCCAGTACAACCTCTAAACCATGTTGATATTAAAGTAGGTAGCTAGACAGTGGGGGCCCCTGACAGTGAGTTCTTGGGAAGCAGTAAAACCACAGTGTGATTTCTAGGACAGCCCCACTCTGTGTATACAGGATCTGAGGCTGATAATGCCCTAAGGGACGCCAGCTCTGGCCTAGAACAGCTGGGCCCTCCTGACAGGCTGTGACAGGACAAGAAGGTGGACCCCCCAGAGTTCAGAGCTCTCTGGCTTAACGCCATCTTAGCAATGAGCTCTGAATTACAGGGGAGACAATCATAAAACCCACGTGGCAAAGACAAGCAGAGCTCACACGGCGTCTTGAAGATGTACCCACATTCCAGCCTGAGGTGAGCACCTCAGCTCAGCTCTCATCCCCCCAAAGAAGTCCGTTTGGTTCTCTCGAGTGTGTTACTCTCTATCTCTGTCTCTTTCTCTTTTTCCTCATAATAGCAAAATGAAACTGCTTTCCTTCACTGTTCATCTCCTCCTGAAAGTAGTTTCTGTCAGGGAAAGTGACGGCCTGTAAAGAAACTGGGTGGAAGTTGGGATTGATTTTCTATTTCCTGTAAAGAGCAATTCTTTGCTCCAGCCTCAGTTCCACAGCTCCCAGAGAAATCAGGAGTGGGAATAATTTCTTGTGCCAGGTAGAGCAAGTGGAAATCGGGTATAGTTTTTTTTTCTGGGGGGGGGTCACACCCTGCGATGCACAGGGGTTACTCCTGGCTCTGCACTCAGGAATTACCCCTGGTAAGGTGCTCAGGGGACCATATGGGATGCTGGGAATCGAACCTGGGTGAGTTGCGTGCAAGGTAAATGCCCTAACCACTGTGCTATTGCTCCACCCCCATAGTTGTTTTTTTTTGGCAGGGGGATAGGGGCTTAGGCTACACTAACAATGCTCCGGGTTTACTCCTGGCTCTGTGCTCAAGAATTGCTCCTCGCTATGATTTGTTTTCACCCCATTGTGAAGGATTATCTCCACAATTATATCAGCTAGTTTCTTTTGCTGAGTACTGATTTGGGTCTAGTTCTGTTCTGAGAAACATTATCCTCGCATGCACACTGGCATCATTTACTATTTCAATAGGTGGACCAGTTCCTCTACTGGCCAGGCTCTTGTTAAAATGCAGATTCCAGTTCAGGGTGTGTGTGTGAGCTTTGACCCAAGCGCACAGTTTTGGCAGGTCCCCAGGTGAGGCTGTTGGTGCTGGCTCTTGGCCCTCTCATCAAGGATTCAGAGTAGGATGTGCAGGGCCAGCAGGGGGGCTGGAACTACAGGGAGCGCAGGTCCAGGATGGCCTGCCTAGATCCAGTACAAGAGTCTCTGAAAGTTCTATTCCAGCGCTGGTGGAACATACCTAGAAGCGACCCCAGTCCGGGACATCTAAAAGGGGCCCTTTTTCCAGAATAAATTTGGAGATGTGGTCTGGAATTTCAGCATTTTGAAAGTCAACTACTCTGCTCACACAGGCTCCTTCCAGGCAGCAGGTAGCTTGCAGGGCTTCAGAGTTCAACAGGAGTAAGTAGCTGACTTTGGGCTTGCTTCACACGGTAGAGACTATTTCCCACTATTGCCAAGGGCACTGGTGTCTACTTGCCTCCACCATCTGCTTTATGCCCAGTCTGCAGGCTCAGGGTGTCCTCGCAGTGCCCAGGAAATGCCCTGTGGCTCCAGAGCCCACAGGACTGCCCTCAGCTGGAGCACCCACTTGCCCCCGTCCATGGAGAATTCCTCTGCACAGCTTGAGACCATGGCAACAACAACACTTGATTTTATTAACTTTTTTGATTTTTTGGAGGGAGTAGGGAGGGACTGCACACAGCAGTGCTCAGGGGTTACTCCTGGCTCTGCACTCAGGAATTACTCCATCTCAGGGGACCATATGGGGTGCTGGGGATCGAACCCAGGTCAGACACGTGCACCCTATCCACTGTACATCTATCCCTATCCACTCCTGCCCCCCTCGCTTGATTTTAACTGCTGCTTTTTAATTTCTTCACATGGAGAGATGCAGTGAGGATATTATAGTGGATGGAGGGTGAATCTTATCACACTCATCCAATCCTCTGGGTCCAGGAAGTTATTGTTTCTCTGAGTCTCGGAGCTGGACTTGCAGTCCCACCCTCACTTCCACTCCAGGCTGCTCCTGCCGGGATTCTCCTGTTTAGGGGTCCTGAAGAACAGCTGACGGATAGTTGGAGTAGCCAACAGGCAGCAGCAGGCTGCTCCTTACCTTAGGGGCTGTGCCCAGCTGGGTGAAGGAAGAAGGGCCTTAAGGGATATAGATCCAGCCTATCATTGGACAGCAAAAGCTGGCCAGGTTGCCTAATCTACTTCTGTGATTTTTCTCTAGGAACTGTCTGGATCCAATTTTCTCATCCAAATAATAACCTACCACCTAGGCTTTTTGTGAGCTCAGGTAAGACCATGGAAGCCGTGGCTGGAAGCCGTTGATTGATTGTTTGGCTGCCCCTGCCCTTCCGGGTGCCTCAGGCAGCAGGCACGGTGGCCAGCCTGGGACTCACAGGAGCACAGCAGCCAGCAAGTTTTCTGGACCTTTATTTTGAGTCTGTGACAGGGGCGAGAGCTCAGCCCGCTTGGGGCTACATTCCTCTAAGCCAGCCCGCCCCCTCCCCAGCCCCGTCCCTCCCAGCTGCCGGAAGCGCAGAAGCTCCGTCCCACCCTCTCAGCACCCAGAGGGTGGTCCGCGAAGGAAGGGCTGCAGGCTTCTGCTGTCCCTTCTGGGGTCTCTTCCTTCAGCGAGGGTCCCCGTGTGGGAGCAGGGGCTGCCCTTGCCTCGGGGCAGCAGGGAGCCCTCCAACATTCTCTGCTCCCGTCTCCCGTAGAGGGAGGCTGTGAGGGCAGCGAGCATCTCTCCTCTGCAGACTCTAGTCCTTGTGTTAGGATGTCAGGGGAACTCCTCCTGGCTGGGACCCGCCTCAGCTGGAGGTGGATTCCTTCCAGTGTCCAGTATTTGGCTGTCCCCCCTCCCTGCGCCACCGCAAGGTGGGTCCTCCCGGGGCAGTGATGTCAAGACTGGACAGGACATCTTTCCTCCTGCCTTTGGTCACTGGTACCCGGCCAGTACCAGAGGAAGGTCCCCCGAGCCGCAAGACCTCGGCCTGTCTGGGACTCCACAGCCGCCCTCCTGGCTGCAGAGCCTGGTTGCGCCCCGGCCTGAGCTCCCCTGGCTGCAGAGCCTGGTCCTGTCCCCCGCCTGAGCGCTCCTGGCTGCAGAGTCGGCAGGACCAGACGGGCGCCAGGTCCAGGGGCGGGGTCCGCGTCTCTCTGGCTCCCTCTTTGCTGGACACTCGCCCCCAGCCCCCTGCCCCCCATCCCCGCGCCTGTTCCTCCCGGCCCAGGCCCCCATGCCCGCACCTCCCGGGCGGGTCAGACACCGTGCGCGCCCAGGCCCAGCACCGAGAAGGCGGCGCGGTGCTTGCGCAGCAGCAGGCGGATCTTCTCGTCGTCCGAGTCCGGGTCCAGCGGCTTGTTGTACTCGTCGTCGTCGGTCTCAGAGGCGGCGCGCTCCCCGGCCGGGGCCCGCGGGGTGGACGACGAGGGCTCCAGGGCGCTCTTCTTGCGCCACTTGGTCCTGCGGTTCTGGAACCACACCTGGGGGTGGGGGGGAGAAGGGGAGGCTGAGCGGGCGCACCTGGGCGGGAGGGAGGCCGAGCAGGCGCACCTGGGCACCTGGGCCGAGGGAGGCTGGGAGGGTGGAGGCCTCACAGCCACAACGCAGCCCTGCGCTCCAGCTGCATTCAATAGCTCCTATGTGGGGACAGAGGGCTCCTGGGCTTCCTTTGGCTTCTCTCGCCTTTGCATCCGGGAAGCTAGTGGCGGCTGCAGGGAGCACGGAGCTCAGGTTGGCAGCCAGGAAGCTCGCTCTGAATTGCTAACCCATCTCCTCTGCTGGCTGTTGGGAGAGTGGCAGGCGCCTTCAGAGACAGAACGTACCCCGAGGGGGGAAGAGGGACCGCGGGGGCGGGGATGGCGGGAGGGGGGCGGTCAGCTTATGCCTGCATGTCAGTCCTCAGTCCCCATATGGGGCCCAGGAGCCCCTGTCCCCGCCTTCCCCTCGGCCCCCAGGGGTCTCTCAGGAGTGGTCTGAGGTGGGAAAGTCCCTCCACCGGTTCTTGAAAGCAGGGAGTGCCTTGCCTATGGTAGACTTTATGCCCTCCCAACTGAGCTGCTTTCTGAGACCTTGAGAAGGAAGAGGTGTTCACGTCTTTCCTTTAAACTTTGAGAAACCCAGACCAGAACTCTCTGCAGGTTACCCTGAATCTGGTCTATCTGTCCCAGAGTCTGATTCCTGGCCCGAGGGCTGCCAGCAGCTCCTAGCTCTTGGCATTATTTTCATTTTGGAGGTGGGGGGGGGGGGTACTGCTCAGGGTTTACTCCTGGGTCTATACTAAGAGATTACTCCTGGTGGTGCTCATATGCCGTGTTGGAGATTGAACTGGGCCAGTCACATGCAAGATGCGCGTCTTAACTCCTTATACCCTCTTTCCAGTCCAGCTTTTGAAATCTGCGAGTGGGTACAAGTGTGGCACTGCAGCCTTACAGAGCTGCAGACCCAGTTCTACACTCACCAAGCTCATAATAACCACCTTAAGGATCTCAAGACTCTTGCCTTGCACATGTCAAGACCTGGGTTTGATCCCCAGCACAACATAAAGTCCCTAAGCACTGCCAGAAGTGATCCCTAAGCACAATGCCAGGAGTAAGCCCTGAGCATCACTGGGTGTGTCCCCCAAACAAATAAAAAATATCAGCCTCAAGGAGTATTAAATGAGGGAAATGGAGAAAAGTAGGCACAGTGTTGAAAACTTTCTTATGGTGATTACTGCGAGCCCTAGGCTAGGTGGGCAGCTGGTAGCACTCTGCAGACCCCCACTGAGACCTGGAGGGCAGAGCTACCTCCCTCCATGCAGAGTCTTGTCTGCCAGGATCCTCTCTGCCAGGCCCAGGACTTCTGCACAGACAGACTCACCTTGACCTGTGACTCTGTCATCCCCAGGGAGTAGGCCAGGCGTGCTCTCTCTGGGCCAGCCAGGTACTTGGTCTGCTCAAAGGTCTTCTCCAGGGCAAAGATCTGGTGGCCGGTGAACGTGGGCCGGGTGTGCTTCTTCTTGTGGATGCTATCGCCCAGGGGGTCTGGGGCTGGCGGGAGAAAGGGGTTTGGTTAGGGTGAGTGGAGGCCAGCCCTGTCCTGCTTCTGCTACAGGGTGCCTGAGCTCGGACCCTGCAGATCCCTCTTGGGGGAGCAGTGTCCCCAGCAATATGACAGGCATGATGCTGGCCTCTGTGTGTCTGGATTAGAGGGCCCAGTCTCAGCTACTGGGGCTTAGCACAGCTTTGAGCTACTCCAGGGCAATAGAAATTTCCCTTCAGCTTCGGAATCAGACGTGACCTTCCACCAATAATCAGGTCTCCAGGGGGTAGGAATTCTTTCCTGCTCCCTTGCTCTTGGGATCTCATTTTTTCAAACCTTCAGAAAACTGTCGAGGGATGAACTCAAGCTCCGTATTGCTGCTCTCCCCTGAGTCAAGTGGCTTCACTGGGCCTGTAGACTCCGGGCAGAAGCTCAAGACCCAAATCCCCTACCTCCACCTGAGGCAGCAGCTGGAAGGGGGCTGTGGGGCAAGCAGACTTCCTGTGCATCAGCCTTACTCAGCAGCAAGCAGCCCTGTGCATCACCTTGAGAGGAAACTGAGGCACAGAAAACAGTAAGAGACTTAATAAGCCTGTTACCGTCAGTTTTCTCTTCTTTGCCTGCATGCCTGCCTGCCTGCCTGCCTGACTTCCTTCCTTCCTTCCTTCCTTCCTTCCTTCCTTCCTTCCTTCCTTCTTCCTTTCTTCCCTCCTAATTTACTTTATTTGGGGGAGAGGCTATGTACAGGGCTTATTTCTGGCTCTTTGCTTAGGGATCACTCCTGGTAGTGCTCAAAGAACCATATGTGGTGTCAGAGATGGAACCAGAACCAGATGTGTGCAAGGCAACTGCCTTAACACCTGTACTATCTCTCCAACACTGCCACTGGCCTTCTTAGCTTCCTGTGGGTGTGTCTTTGGAAGTGAAGAACAGGGGCATGAGAGAATGTATGTTTGGAGGCAGAGATGGGTGGGTGGGGAAGACAAGGAATGAAGATGAGAGAGTCAGGACGTGATTTAAAACACCCTCAAACTGAGTTACTAAGTAGGTTGCAAAACCTACACACAGCCCTTTAACCCCTGGGACATGCGATATATAAAAAAATCCATATTCTTTCTATATTTTAGGTTGGGTGAGAGCTGGGGCTGTAATGCAGTGTTGTGTGCTTCCTGCCCTGGGGTCTGATGGATGCGGGGCTCCTTCCACCCCTGAAGGCCCCAGGGCTGCATGTTCTCCGCTTCCCAGGTACACCACATCGCTGTTTCGTGCCCTGACCTCTCCTCCAGTCCCTCACAGCATCACAGGGACCCATTCATGGGAAAGCGAGAGTTGGAGTCCCCCACTGCTATGGCCACATCTGACTTGGCTCCATGGCTCTGCCCAGAGGTTGGACATTTGTCGCCAAGGAGGATGGTCATTTTGATCACAGGCAGAGCAACAATGGGGCTAGAGACTGTTCTGTGTCCCTGAGTAGGCCAGGGTGAGAGCAAGCTCCCGGGGAAGGAGGACAGGGCACCCCGACTAGGAGTAGCACTCTGGGGCAATGGTCACACAGACCTTTGGTGGAGGAAGCAGGTCGGCTGCTGGACAGTCCACACAGGGCAGGGGTGCCTCCCCCAGACTGGAAGACTTTCAGGGGGAGCCCTTAGCTAGGGTCAGCCAAGCTGGGGCAGAGTTTGGGAACCTGCGGGTGTAGAGTTCAGACAGACAGTAGGTTTGCACTGGGCCGTCTGCGAGGGCAAAGAGAGGTGGGCACCTGTCGCCGGTGCCCCTGTAAGGGGCTTCCCTCCCAGCTCCCTTACTCACTGTGGCTGCACTGCCGGACGCCTCGCCAGTCCTGGCCCGTGTCCGCCCAGCAGTTCCGGGCCCGGGGTGGGTACTCGTTCCCAGCCTTGGAGAAATTGCCCATCGGGGGACCGTAGTAGACCCCCTGGGAGCTGAGTCCACCAAAGCCTGCCACGTGGGGGTAGCTGGAGAGAAGGCTGCTGTTCGGGGTGGCCACCGGCCTGCTCAGGATGTCGGAGATGCCATGGGGGGTCCCGGCGGCCAGCTGGGGGCCCAGCCCCGGAGTACCGAGCTTGTAGAAGGAGTTCTGCACCGAGTACTGGCACACAGGCGCCTTCATTTCTGAGAACTGGGCGAGCGACGTGTTGTTGAGCAGGAACGTCCCCTGTAGGTTGGCCTCCATGGTCCCCGGCCGGAAACACCGAGGCTCCTAGCGCCCGAGACGCTCGGCTCCGGCCCGGAACCCCATGGCAGGTCTGAGGGCCACAAGCTGAGCCCAGACTGCCCTCCCTCCAAGGCGCTCAGCCCAGCCCTCACCCGGGCGGTGCCCACGTCAGTCACTCGGAAGTGAGGTGCTCCCGTGGTGAGGCCCCCACCAACCCCAGCCAAGGGAAAATCTCCCCAGGTCTCAGCTCACATCCCTCTTCTGCCCCTGAATCTGGGGACCCTCCATGAGAAGTTGAAGTTCAGAGAAGCACCATTTCCCTGATAAAGATAGAGCCCATTAGAATACAGCCCCAGACTGGCTGGACAGCAGGGCTGCGCTGCCATTGGTGGAATCAGCTCTGCCTTCACATTGGCTTGTCCAAGACAAATTGCACTTTGAGAGATAGTATGTGTGTGTGTGTGTGTGTGTGTGTGTGTGTGTGTGTGCGTGTGTGCGCACGCGCGTATGCGCAAGCTTTCATGCATGCAAGCATACATGTGAGAGATTGACAGCCACACACACACACACACACACACACACACACACACAGAGGCGGGGGACTAAGGGAGGGAGAGAAAAAGGGAGGGAGGGAGAGATAGGGAAGGAGGAAGAGAGCGCTTTGGAAGGCTCTTAGTCATCCTTAGAGGGTTCACTGCTCCTGCTCTCTGTCCCCCACCCCGTGTCCAGCATCCAGCACGCAGGAGAGTGACCCTGAGAGCTCCTGTGGCTGCTCCCCTGAGGGGAAGGAGCGGGACTCAGGTGGTTGTCCTGAAGTGCCCCTTCATGTGCTGATGCCAAGCTTCACCAGGAATAAAGACTTCAGGGAATCTGAGCCAGGCTGGATGGGTAAGTGGGGAGTCAGCTTTGGGAGCAGGGCCACAATTGGGGCAGACTGCAGGGGGAGCAGCTCTTAGATCCAGCCATTGTCCCCTGCTTCTATCCACCTTCCAGCAGCGCACCCACCCCCATCCCTTCCTGGTCCTTTTTCTTCTTTTCCTCCTCCTCTCCCACTTCCTTCCCCCTTCCCCCTCCCCCATCCTCCTTACTCTCCCCCTCCTCTTCTTCCTTCTCTTCTTCTCTTCTTACCCCCATTAATGCCCCCCTTCCCCTCCCACATCAGAGGAATTGTGTAATTGTTTGTGTCTCCAGGCTGGTGGTCTGTCCAGTCTGGCCGGGAATCTCTGATGTCTGGGATGGCTGTTGATTCAGGATGAGTCCTTGTGCAACATTCTTGGTTGCTGCTCAATAAGTATTTGATGGTTGGGGCTGAATTTAATCATATGCAGACCACCCATCTGTCTTTTATTCCAGAGAGTTTTCTTTTACCATAAACATGATTCTAATGAGGGTGATCCCCACTTACAAATCGGAAGTCTTTATCCATTGCTAGTTCCTTGTTTCTGTGTTTTGGATGGGACAGCATATTCCCTGCAGGGCTGTTCTGTTTGTTTTTGCTGGAAACCAGCATGCTACTGACCAGCACCTGCAGAATGACAGGGAATTGGGACTGGCAGACAGAGACTATGTCTCCATGCCTGGCAGTCCCCCAGGGCTTCCTGATCAGGCTGTGGGCCGTCAACTCTCTTGCTGCTTGGACTTAAACTGTAGTGGAATGACAAGAGGTGCCCTTGGCTTTGCTTTCCAGCAGAGGCTCATAGGCCCAGGACTTGGTTGGGGTCCTCATCACACAGCCCGGCTCTCCCCAAACAGTGGTATATTTTTACTCTGAACCATGTTCTTGGTATCATAAATGATGTAATTAATGGCAGAAAAAACCTACAAAGGTTTTAGTGGTTCCTATTTTTTTTTCGGGTCACACCTGGCGATGCTCAGGGGTTACTCCTGGCTTTGCACTCAGGAATTACTCCTGGCGGTGCTCGGGGGACCATATGGGATGCTGGGAATCAAACCCGGGTCGGCCGCGTGCAAGGAAAATGTCCTACCCACTGTGCTATTGCTCCAGCCCCTTGCTGGTTATTTTTCTACAAATTTTAAAAAGAGAAAGAATTGAGTTGGTTGTGCTCCCTCCCAAACCACCTGTCACAACACTTTGGGAAATAATTGCAAATTCCAGGGTTGTCACATGGCACCAGGAAACTGTGATTGGACTTGTGCTTTGGGAGTTCTCGGGATAGTGTGGCAGCAGGGCTGTGCTGGTCTGCATGACCTTTCTGATTCCGAGAGGCGTCAGGTTCCTCGGGAGGGCTGGACCTGTCCTGCGACTTGTGCTAACTTATGATGGAGAAAGAGTTGAAGCAAATGACTTGGTTCTTAATTTAATGCCAAGGCCGGCAAAGGCATATGTGCTGAGGACTACCAGGTGACAGACAGGAGAGACTAGCAGTCACTGAGCTGTGCCTTTGACAGATGAAAAATTGACACCAGCTAGGCCTTTCACAAAAGCTTGGAAAAGGGAGCAGGACAGCTTTCTTGTTTGTCTGTTTTTGGGCCACACCCAGAGGTGCTCTTTGCTCAAGTGCCACTCCTGGGGGCGGGGGGGGGGGGAGGACTCGGATGACCACATGGGATGCTGGGGATTGAGCCTGGGTTGAGCAAGGCAAGCACCCTACCCACTATACTATTGTTTGGCCCCCAGGGAGCCTCTTGAACATTTTTTTGTTTGTTTGGTTCTGGTTTTGGGCCACACCTGGTGGTGCTCAGGGCTTGCTTCTAGCGGCTTGGGGGACCAGACAGGCTCAGGGAACCATATGGGTTGCCTGGGGATTGAACCCACACCGACCATGTGCAAGTCAAGCATTCTGCCTGCTATATTATTGCTCCAGCCTCTCGAATATTCTTAAACTTTTGAGTAGTGCCAGGGCTGGGCACCCTTACAGGGCACATTTATGGGGCTCCTGGTGCTGGACTCTGGTGATGCATGGTGCTCCTGTGTCATGGCAGTCATGTGGGGACAGCTCCTTCCCTGCCATTTCAGAGGAGATGGCTTTGGGGTTGGGATGTTGATGAAGGGAGAAATTCATGTAGGTGGGCACCCCAGCCCCCTCCAGCCACCCCCAAACCTCTTCCAGCCTCACCGTGTGCAGGCACCCCTGCAGCTGACTGCACCGGCCCACTCTGGTGACAACATCCCCTGCCCCCACAGGCGGGCAGGAAGGAAAGCTGGAGCCCGGAGCATGGGTCAATTTCTTTATTAATTTTGACATTTGTTCAGCTGGTGTAGGGATAATGGTCTATACATCAGAGTGGGGGAGGAAGGTTCCCTCCCCGAACAGAGCAGGGGGGGAAGGACGCAAGAAAAGGTTTGTTCTCATAACAATTAAAAAAATCAAGGTGATTCCAAAACTTCTAAAAAGCGTCTAAGGTGCAGACTGCAGCATTCTCTAGGCATCGAGTGGGGAGCCCGGGCTCCTCCCTGGAGCGCCTACTAGCAGGGAGCCGGGCCGGGCCAAGCAGCCAAGCCGGGCGGAGTGTGTGTGCCAAAGCGTGGCCTGGGGCCGCTACGGGGGCACGAGGCGGGGGAGGCGAGCCCTGCGCCGGTCTTCCTGGGGGACCCTCACCCAGCCCACTCCCGGGACAGCGGCCCTCCGCCCCGCAGGGGACACGCTGGGGCTGTGCTCTCCCGGCACAGCCCCGGGAGCGGGGCTGGTGGCCACGGCCTGCCCTGCCGTCCGGCCTGCCGCCCGGCCCTGCTGCCCTGCCCAGCCCCGCTGCCCGCCCTGCCCGGCCCTGCACAGCGGCCCGCGCCCAGGGCGCAGGTGCCAGGGGCAGCACCGGGAGGGCGCGCGTGGCCGGGCGCGCGCAGGGATTGTGCTGATTCGGCCTCTCTCCGCCGGGGGAGCTGCAAGGTGTGTCCCTGATGGCACCGAGGCGGAGAACAAGCAGATGTGCCCTGCAGCGCGACCCAGCCTGTCAGGGGGGCAGGGGTGGCGACCCCCTCCTGCCCGCAGCTGCACAAGAGCACCAAGTTCGCTCCGGGAGGCCTGGGCCGGCTCGCAGGGCTGCAGGGCTGCAGGTTGGCCCTGCCCTCCCTCCTCTCTCACCGAAAGACAGGCTGTAGCTCCTTCCCGCGGCCTGAATCCTCAGGAGCTGAGCTGACATACTGCTAACGTGTGTCTATTGGTTTGCATAGTATTTATTGTTTTTCATATACACAAGGCTGATTACTGTACAGTTTTACACTTTGAACACAGACTATGATGTAAGTGCTTGAAGATATAGAAAACCTCTTCTCTAGTGGACATGCTGGTGCAGCCCGGGCAGCCACAGGCCGCGTCCCACCAAGCGAGGGTGAAGACCCTTCTGGACGGAATGCTGGCTCCAGGTGAGCCCTACAGGTAAGCCTCAGATGCCTGAGTCCCTCCACAAGGGACTCTGAGTACAGTCTAAAGCTCTAAAGGTGGTGATTTTCCATTGGAAGATGGTTAATACTGAGACTGGCAGAGAGAAAGAGAGACAACATAAAAAATTCCAGTTTATCCACAGGAAGTTCTAGGTAGCATTGGATGTCACAGTAAAATCTGTGTATATGCTGAATGGCGGGCGGGGAGGAGTGTGTGTGTGCGTGTGTGTGTGTGTGTGTGTGTGCTAATGTCATGTGGACCTTCTGGGAGAGTGTCCACTGCACTGTCAACCAGTGGAGTGGGGGGTTGGTGAGGAAGGGGAGCACCTGGGGTTAAGGTGCTGAAATGATTTCACACCTAACCTCTCTCTCTCTCTCTCTCTCTCTCTCTCTCTCTCTCTCTCTCTCTCACTTTTGTTCTATTCAGGAAGCCCACATGGATTTCTTATAGATGAAGTTGAAAAAAGAGTACCCTGTAACAAGTCAAAATTAAAATGATTTAAAAAAATAGATCATTCCCAACCACAAAAGAGCCCTTGATCACATTGTATTCGTGCCCTCTCTCACACTGCTTTCTGTCTCCCGCCCACCCCCCTTCCTCTCTCGTTCCCCCTTCTTGCTGCGTTTGTCCTGGTTCCTGGCAGATCCACCGATGCTAGAGGCAGGATAGAGGACTGTAGGTCATGCGTCTACAGCCAGTCGTTCATGCGATAGGAGACTAAAGGAAGTCCCTTACGGAGGTCATGCCGTTAGCCTAGAGGAACGCGTGTGCTTCTGCAGCCTCGTCCCGCTCTCCTCCTATGTGCATGGCAGAGTGTGTGGAGTTCAAGGGTTGGGTGTCGAAGTATGATCCTGGGGGAAGAGAAGGAGTCACTGAGAATTAGTTTAAAGATGCCTCTCCCGGCAAAAGCCCCACTCCAAAGTTCTGTGCCATTCAGAAGGAGCTTCAGTGAGGAAAGGTGCTCCCCACCTCCCTTCCGTCTGCACCCCATGCAAGCAAGATGCTGTGCTGGAAAGTGTGTAGCTCAGAGCCTGAGGCTCCCTGTCACCAATGCCAACCTGCCCAGCTGCAGCCCACAAGCTGCTTCTCAAAGTGGTGGGGCTGAGACTGCTTCCTGTCAAGTAGAAGATCCCTGAGGAAACTCCTTTGTGCAGGTGCTTAAGGCTGAGAATGGAGGCAGGGATCTCTGGGAGAAATCCCTATGATTCCCTGAGAATCCAGGAGAATGATTCCCTGGACTCAGAAAAGAGGGATTTTTAACAAGTGCAGGCTTGTTCCAGAAAGGCGATGGGCTAGACAGGAGTGCCTGCATTCTCAGGAGCCCAGAAGACATCCACATGCCCTGTCTGTCACACGGCAGCCCAGGAGACGCAGACAGGGGCAGACAGTGACATTCTGAAGATTCCTGTCTCCACATGCTTCCTGTACACCACTGCATCCTCAGGACAGCCTCTGCCAACACAGACTGGCCTAGGGAGACAGCAGCATTCTCCCTGGGGCTTGGGGGGGCCTTAGGATGGGAGGTAACAGGTGGGCCAGCAGAGCCAAAATCAGATTCTTTATCTCGAGACTCACAGCAAGACCCCAGCCCTGCCACGCATGGGGATTGCTCCTACCTGGAGTGAAACTTGAGGTTTCCAATACAAATCAGCCAGGACTCTGCCACTGGACGTTGGAACGGAGTGGGGAAAGAAGGAACTTAAATAGAGAGTGGCTGATGATCTCCTAGGTGGTGATCTCCTAGAGTGACCCAGAAAGGGAGGAGCTCATTCTGAGGTAGAGCTGACCCTGGAGGGGGAACACTGTGCTGGCCCTGGTCTGTGGGGGCGGGGGCCAGGGCAAGCGAGGTGAGTTGTGAGCTCAACCCACGTTCTTCAGGAGGGAGAGCTAGCGAAGGGTGTTCTAAAGCTGGGAACAAGTTATGCAACCAGATTCTCCTGCACTGCCTACATGGCTTTCCTTCTGGCGGCCAGGGTGCGTCCAAAGGCTGCCCATTCCCCTTTGCTGTATGTGTGGCCCCCTGCAGGAACACTCTCTGCTCTCAGCTGACAGTCACCCGGCAGCTCCCCCAGTTCTTCCTTTACTGCTGGGTCCCTCTGTTTTCTCTCTCTCAGCTCCAGACTGCACTCTTCTGCCACCTCTGTCTCTTTAGAGGGCCCGGAGGGGAGCAGGGAGGGCCCGAATGCCAGCCAGAGTCCTTGAGTTCACCTCCTCTGTGCCTTGCTGCACAGCCTGGACCTGCCTAGTACTTGGTGACTCAGTTTGCTCTGGTGTAAAATGAAGGCATCGGCTGGACTTCATAAGGTTATTGTGTCATTTAAAAGAAGGAAGCACAGTCCAGACTTTTGTCTAGGGGTTAGAAGACATGGAGCAAGCCTGGTTTTGATTCTGAGCTTGGGAGCACTGCCAACGGTGGTCCCAGAAGCCTCGAGAACCACTGGCACAAGGGACCCAAGACACACTGTATCCTTGGGCCCTTGTGCTGAGGTGCCAGCCGGGTGGACCATGGCCTCTGGAGTGTCATTGGTGCCCGAGTCCCCTGAGCACTAGGTGGGAGCATTCCTACCCAAATAAAAACAAAATGCAAGAGCTAAAGAGGTGAGGATATGACTCAAGGAGAGCTTGCTTTTCTGGGTACCGTGTTCAATTCCCAGCACGGCAAAAAAAGAAGCCCAAGGAAACATAAAATGGCTGGGACAGTAAACACTGGGTGTCAGCTGTTCCTGAACTCTCTGGAAATGCTACTACTTAAGTCCTTCTTGCGTATTTCCCTCAGAGGACAGAAACGGGCTTCCCCTCCCCCTAGCAGGCCTGCCTTCAGTCAGAGACCTGCTGCACTATTTCTCTCAGAGAACAGAAGCAGGACTCCCCCCCCCTCCCGCAGGGCCCCCCTCACCCCCAAGCTGGGCCTGCCTTCGGGAATGGGACAGCTGCATCCCGAGAGGCTGGGCCGTGGTCTCCAGCCTCTTCTGCACAGACGCAGGTCGGATGGAAGAGTGCAGTGGGGATCAGCTCTCGTTCATCGTTTCATTGCTGGGTGACTTTCGGCTGCGGGAGCAGCAGTGACAGGTGCAGGGGAGTGTCCAGGCAGGGCAGCAGGAGAATGCCAGGGTGCCTGCCGCTGCCCCACACCCAGTTCCTGGCTGACCCTCCAGAAAGGTCATATCCTTTAACGTGCTTAGAGGGTGGGTCCTGCCACAGCTACTGAGGCTGCAGGGTCTCCTGGGTGCTGCCCCTGTCCCACCCTGCTCAGTGCCCCAACGGGACCCTTTTATACCTCAGGACTTGGGGAGGGGGCGAACTGACACTCAAACCCTAACAAAAGAGCAAACATGAAACAAAGCCACCACTGTTTGCTCCTCCACCTGTTCTCCTTATACGCGGACATCTCTCTGCTTTCCCACTCTAGAGAAGGGCAGGATCGCTCTTTTTTTTTTTTCCTTTTTGGGTCACACCCGGCAATGCTCAGGGGTTACTCCTGGCCCTGCACTCAGGAATCACTCCTGGCGATGCTGGGGGGACCATATGGGATGCTGGGAATTGAACCTGGGTTGGCCGCGTGCAAGGCAAATGCCCTGCCCGCTGTGCTATCACTCCAGCCCCAGGGCAGGATCTCTCTTAAGCGTGTATTACTCTCTTTCTCTTGCCTCATAGCCTTCTAAGTAGATAGAGTTCAATAAAAACTATCTTGCTTCTCTCTCTCTCTCTCTCTCTCTCTCTCTCTCTCTCTCTCTCTCTCTCAAATTAGTTGTAGTCCTTTGCTTCTTGATCTTCTCTCATCCAAAGTAATTAATTTTTACTAATTTCATTTTTTTTTTGGCTTTTTGGGTCACACCTGGCGATGCACAGGGGTTACTCCTGGCTCTGTACTCAGGAGTTACCCCTGGCGGTGCTCAGAGGACCATATGGGATGCTGGGAATCGAACCCGGGTCAGCGGCATGCAAGGCAAACGCCCTACCCGCTGTGCTATTGCTCCAGCCCCAACTAATTTCATTTTTATTTTTAGGTTTTTGGGCCACACCTGACTATGCTCAGGATTTACCCTGGCTCTGTGCTCAGGGATCATTCCTGGGGTGCCCGGGGTGTATGTGTGATTCTGGGGGTCTACCCTGAGTCCTACCCCCTGTACTACTGCTCTGGCCTCAAAGTTATTGATTTTATTTAGTTTTTGGCTTGGGGTCATGCCTGACAGTTTTCAGGGCTTCCTCTTGGCTCTGGTTCTCAGAGATCACTCCTGGCAGGGCTTAGGGGACCCTTTTGGGTACTGGGGATTAAATCCAGGTTGGCTGCATGCCAGAAAAGCACCCCTGTACTTGCTGTGCTATCACTCTGCCCTTCCCCCCACCAAGCAATTAATCTGAAACATACTAGAATATTCTGGAGTCAAAGCTAAGACAACTCTTGTAACCAGAGTCTCTGAAGAGAAATATCTAAAAAGAAAAATGGAAAAAAAAAAGCATTCCCTCCCCCCCCACCCCACCACATAAATCAAGAAGAGCCAACAATCGGCCTTAGTCCTCCAGCTCCTGGAGACTCCGGGGCACCGGTGTTGCACCAGCCACACACTGTGCCCCGAGCAGACTCACGTCCTGCTGCTTACTTAGATCTGAATACCTGACCCAGAGCAAACCCTGTCGCTGTCTGCCCCAAACTGCAGACCTGTGATTAGACAGCCCCTCCACCCACTACACTGCCACCTCCCACACAGAATGCTTCCAGGCTTGAGAGTGAGTGTGTGGAGGACAGATGGTCTTAGCCTCATCCAGGACAGGGGTTCAGTCTCTGGGTGGTCACACCTTTGAATAAACTAGTCACCCTTAATTTTTAATGTAAAATGAATTTTCAGTGTAAGACACTTAAAGTTGTACTTTGATTTGGGGAAAGAGTTCAAAGGACAGGAGGGAACCACATGTTCCCCAAGTACCAACAAGACCCCAGCACACAGGCCTTGCACAAGGAGCTCCCCTGGGTGTACAAGGAATGCTCCCCAAACAAGATGAAGAAACAAAGCTCACCTTTCACCTCTAATGTCTACAACCGATACACATTACTTCTGGAAGGTCTGGGCTCCAAAGTCAGCCATAAAATACAAAATGTTACTTAAGGAGTTTTGGAATCTTAGTTCAGAGGTTTGGGACAGGGACCGGGAATCTGCATTTTAACCACTTGTGGGATATGCATGATATTGAGAAATAGTAGATTAAGATGAAATCCATTCACAACCCTTTACGAAACCTTCTCACCATAAAATGCTTTCACAGACAGCAATCATCATAACTGCCCGACCAGGGAAATATTGGCATGGCTGCTGTTTCATGGATTAGGGAGCCTGTACCTGCAGAGGGAGACCACCAAGCCTGGGGTTCTCCCCCCGCCCCCACAGACCTGCACCTGGCTGAGTGTCAGAAAAAAGGCATTCTCCACCCTCTCACCATGACACCATGGACATCGTGAGCCCTGTTCTCCTCTCTCCTACCGTCCTTCCCATCAGAATAAAGGATGCAGCATGTCTATGTTACCTCAATGAGAGCAATGGAGAGTAGGGGAATAAAGGATTCGGGATGTCCGTGGCTCCAGCTTCCCTGGAACCCAGACAGGAGCCTGCTCTGGAAGAGCTCCTCACCACACCCTGACCCCAGTGCGTCCCTGGCAGAGGCCCAGCACGTGCCAGAACCAGGCCGGAGTTCCTGGTAGGCATGGTCTCCTCATCTGTGGGTGCTGCGGCTGCCCCTCATATCATCTGCCACTGATATGGAAATCTGAAACAGCCTATGTAAATCCTGCCGGCCCCCCTGCACTGCCTCTCTGCTCAGTCAAACAGAAGCAGAAAATGAAAGCCACTGCTGCTGTGGCCATCAAGAAAGTAAGGCAGATGCGTGTCCTTTCCTTTCATTCTCTGCTCTTCCAACTTCTGTGCATCTTTGGGCGGCTGGAGAGAGGCCCTGGTAGAGAAGGGGTTAACGCTGTGTCCTCCTTAAGCTGCTGAGGAGTCAGGTCTAATTTTATCCTTCTCCTTCTGCCAGTAGCCCCACGTCAGCACTCAGCACTCGGGGGCCCAGAGGCGCTGCCTGCCTTTGCTGGCTGCTGGGCCCGGAGCTGGAGCCACAGGGTTTCAGTGGAGCAGCCCGACGAGAGCAGAGCTGGGGCCACAAGGCTTCCTCGCTTCCTGCCAACTCCCACCCCGACGCATCCTGTACTGAGCTGCCCCGAGCTGGGCACAGGAAAAGGCCTCGGGGCAGCTCAGTACAGGATCCCTCAGGGAGGACAGAGGTCCCAGCTGGCCGCTGAAGCCCCAGCACCGTGTGTCTGCTGGCCTTCCTTTGACACACACCACACCCCCCTGCTCAGCAACGCTGGGGAACACCATGCTTTCATTATCATGCGCCCCAGCCCCAGCACCCTCCGAACATGCAGGGAGAAGCCCCCCCCCCAACTGTCCACACCACAGTCCCTTCCTAGAAAGCAAGGGGGCAGCCTGGCACAAGGACCTACGCCAGAGGCTGGAAGCCTGAGTTAGTCAGGACGTGCAGAGACAAGAAGAAGCTGAGCTCTAAGTCTTCCTGGAGACTCCTGAGGAAAGAGCCTCAGCAGCTCCAACTAGTGTTGCCTCCACTGCTCGGTTCCCCCTTCCTGGTGCTCAGGGCAGAACCACACTGAGACTGACCAAGTGCTGGTCAGTCACGTAGCAGACATTGCCTTCAGACGGGCATCTGGCCTTCCCTGAGAAGGTGCCCAGCAGATCCTGGTGGCTTTTCTGGACGAAGGAATGAGACTCAAGGACACCGTGAGGAGGGCGGGAAATGACAGAGTCTCAAGACGCAGCAAAAGCTGTTCAAGCTCAGGATGCTCGGGCAGAGCGGTGAGAGAAGAGCAGGTGCTGGCTGGGTGGGGGAGGAAGTGCCGCCATGCCAGAAGGCCAGGACATGCAGAGAGATGCAGAGGGGCGCTTTACCTCCAAAGAGGCCATTTGAGGGGGTTCCGATCACTGCTTCCCCCTCTTCAGGCTGGCCCGCTTCACTATCTGAGCGCCCTTCCTGCCCTCTAGGGGGTCAGGCTGCAGGCTGCTCCCTCTCAGCTTCACCTGGAGGAGGCAGCAGAGGAAAGCAGGACAGATCACAGAGCCGCCGAGAGGCGGGAGTGAAGAGGCCTCCCGTCTGGGATACCGCCCGCCAGGTCAGAGAGAAAAGCACAGGGCAGCCCAGTGGACTGCGAAAGGCCGCGAAAGGCCGGCGCACAGGGCGGCGGGTGAAGGCTCAGCGCCCGAGAGCAAGAGCTCCTCAGTACCTTGGCGTGTTTTATAAAGAAATCAATATCGGCCTCCAGCTCACTAGGGTCCTCCAGGGGCCCCTCAACAATCACCTCCTTGTAATCCTGGGTGTCAACACCAGATGAATCTATCTCCCGAACAACTTTTCGAGTGATCTGGAAAACAAAGGGAAGGGAGAATGGGCTTGCAGCAATGGCCAGACAAAGCTCAAGACGAAGGCTGAATTCCCAGAAACGAGAAGGGACCCTGCTTGTGACGAGAAGGGCCACGAACAAGGACACCACAGCCCTGTCACTGTGGGACGCACAGTGGCCTGTCTCACAGAGACTGAAGTTCGTAGGACGTCTTAGACGTTGTCAGTGAACAGGGTTTGACCACATGGGACTTCTGTGTCTAGCCCAGAGCATGTCATTCTAAACCTTGTGATCAATGAAGCTTATACTGCCCATTTGGCCCTCAAGCCGCCTGGCCTCTCATCCATTCCTCCAAATACATTAACAGTTGCTTTCTCTGCCCCAACCACCTGCTGAGAATAGGTGGCGGAAACTTTAGCAAGACGTGGAGGCTAGTCAGACACGAGGGGGTCTTGCGTCGGTGCAACGTCAGTCCAAGACCTTCTCTTTGCCACTTTGTGTCCCTTCTGCCTGAACCCACCATAGGGCCCATGCCTGGACTGGCAGATTTTGGTCCAGTGAATGAATCTGCTACCAACACATTGAATTGCCACCTCCTTTTGATTTTAGGAGGCCCACGGTATCCTGGAACTGTCCATCCTGCTTCCTCCCAGCTCTGACTACAGGGCTAGGCACCTTGGCACGCGTAGGTTTGACTGTTGCAAGGAGCACAGTCTCCCTGAGACACAGCAGCAGACACCATTTAGGGCTGAATCAGAGCAAGTGCCTGTGAGGAAAGTCACACGGGACTTCAGGAGGAAAGGGCTGCTGGCAGATGCCTCTCTGAGCAGTTTTCACCCCCGTCTGAGGCAGTGGTGAGAGCAGAGGAAGTGCGTTTCCCCCACTCTGAGGCTCAGCTCAGCTGCCTCTTAGGGGGACTCTGCACCCACCTTCTTGGTGACAATGTTGCCCTGCTCATCCGTGAACTGTTCCTCTGTCACCTGCTCCCCTGGAATATTTTGAAGCTCATTCTCCTGGAATCAGAGAGGGGGGAGAGAACTCAAGATTGATAAGTGAGAGCTTGGGAATAAGATCGGAGAATGAGGAAGTCGAACAGCAGTGAGAATAGCCACAGCCTGACAAGCCCCAGTCTGGCAGGAAACGCTAGCTCAGCAGGCAGCAGGTGGACTGCGGCTCCAAGTGAGGTGCCCGGGGGGGGGGGGGGGGGGGGGGGGGGGGGCGGGGGGGGGGGTGGGGCACGAGTCTGGGCTGGGGTGCAGCCCGGGGCTGCTCTCCCTCCCCGCGCCCTTGCCGGAGAATAGGCAAAGCAGGGCCAACCACACAGGATACTCAGGAGCCCTGGGTTAGGGGGAGCTGGGAGCATCTCACAGTGCAGAGGCGCTTCCTCGCACGCTGCAGCCTGCCTGCCCGTCTCCGGGGCTGTGGGCACAGAGGCAGGCTGAGCACTGCGTCCTTTTCACTGTAGCAGCGAAGGTGCCCGTCCTGGAGCCTTCCTGGCCAGCCCTTCCCCGGTCTTCCCCATGCAGGGTGCAGCCTCACGCGGGCTGCTCGGCCCCAGCCCTGCCTCCTGCCTGGCGGTTACCTTCCAGAGGACCCGCCGTCGGACCACCCTGGTGGAGACGGTCTCCTCGTCGTCACTCAGGCCCTCGCTCTCCCCCAGCTCCTTGTCCAGCTCCTGATGGATGTGCTTCAGCACGAAGCACAGGGAGCCCTTAACAATATGCATCACGTTCTGACAGCTGACCAGGAAGAAGCCCAGGAGCACCAGGGACACCAGGAGCTGGGTGACGAAGGTCCACATCCTCACCTCCGCCTCGGGCGGGCTCGGGCCGCTGCCGGAGTCCAGCCTCGCATTCTCTTCGTGGCCTCCCGAGTCCCCCCACGCCCCGTCCACTTTCGGGCTCCCACAATCTCCCTGGGCAGGAGACAGATGGGGCCTCTCCAGTATACAGCCTGCCCCCTGCCCTCCCCCTGCTGACATGAAGCGGGGATAATTTTAGCTTCAAACCAGCTGCCCGGGCTGTCCAAGTGGGCAGAAGGGAGCGGGCAGGTGCATGCCTGGACTCAGAGCGCATGGCAAAGGCTCTGCCAAGAGCAGCGCCCGCCCTGCCCCCACTTTCGGACCCTGCGGAAACGAGCTCCTTTGCCTGGGCTTCCTGTTCTGGTTTGGGAACCCAGAACATAAGACATTTGAAGGGTGTGGCTGTGTGTGTGGGCCTCAGGCTGCCAGCGCTCTCTCAGAAACGGGGGCCCAGGTGTGTAAGCAGTGTGTGGGCTTAAGACCTGGCCCTCAGGCGCCGCCCCACCCGGCTGCAGCCAGGCTGAGAGGAAGCTCTCTCCCAGGGTTTCTGCTTCTCTCTGAGTAGCTGCCCTGCTTAGCAGAGAGAACAAAGACTGGGAACCAGCGGAATGCTGGACACCTGTTCTGGTCTCGGTTTCCCCCTCTGGAAAAGAGGGATTAAGGGCTTTGTCTTCTTGCCAAGAGGGAGGTGTGAATCATAGGGCTTATGGGAACAAACACCTCGGGCGTGCTGTCCCTCAAAGCCGTGTCCCCACATGAACTTGGTGTGCCCGTGATGAGCCTACTGTGCATGTTCCAGGATTTCCCATCTCACATGCAGACACGAGAGGAGTGAGGTTAAGTACTTCCTATGTGAAAGGGAAGCTTGCAGAGTCAGGTCCGAATGCCCATCCTGATGCCATCCTGCCTCCTTTCAACCAGAAAAGCCCCGGAGAGGTTGAAGCTGGCAAGTGCCTTTGCCAAAAGGTTGGCACAGGACAATGTTTGCTTCTGGCTGAGCCCATAAGAATCCAACTTCAGAAATGTTCCCTGGGTCCTCTGGGGAGCACTGGCTTCTAGTCGTCCCAGATCCGCCTCAAGCCCTAGATCAAACTATGGGCCTCTCAATTCCTCTCATGCTCTCTCCGCTGCCGTCACCATTTCCTGAGAACCTGTGGGCCTTCCACAAGCCTCATCTGGAGTGGTCCTTGTCATTTCCCCCGGGTTGGCCGCTAGTGAAGGCGGCGCCACTCCCTCCTGCCCTGGGCCACAGGGAGCCAGTGGGCAAGGAGCACCTGCCCTGGCTCTCGTTGGCCATTGGGAATCTGGACTATCACGGTAGGTGGCCCTTCTTTCAGGGCCTCAGCTCCCTCCTTTTTATACACAGAACAGTCAGACCACGTGGCCTAGAGGATTTCTTGTGTCCTCCTGGAGCCTGTCCTGCTTTCTTCTTAGCTTTTCCCTCCCCCAGAGGGTGACAGTGACGGCTGGGGTGAGGCGGGAAGAAGTCTCCCGTTGGTTTCCTTGTAGGATTCAGGGAAGTGGGCTAGGTCACCTGTGTGCTGAGAAGTGTGGAGGAGTGAAAGGTACTGCTGATGGCAGAGAATGGACAGGGGTGGTCTGGGGTTAACACTGGACATGGCCGCTGGCTTGCCCGAGACACATTCTTGGCAGGGAAGCTTTCTAAATAAAACCGCGTTCATTCCTCACAGCATTTTTAGTCAGCCTGTCCTGAGGGCCTCAAGTGTTAGGGGACAGGTTCAGACAGAAGAGACAAAAAGAAAAGAAGGAAGCAGATAAAGAGGGAGAAAGAATCAACTTCTGGAGGAGAAAATGTGTCAAGTAAAGAAAAAGAAGCTAAGTAGAGCAAGAACACAGTTTCTGCACATATTGAAAAATCACATGCACAGAATAGTAATGCACATTTTCTAAACACATAAGTTAAAGATACACACTAATGAAACAAAAAACAAACACTGTCCTCCCGTTGTTCATCGATTTGCTCTAGCGGGCCCAGTAACATCTCCATTTTGAGACTTATTGTTACTGTGTTTGGCATATGAATACGACACGGGTAGCTTGCCAGGCTTTGCGGTGCGGGCGAGATACTCTCGGTAGCTTGCCGGGCTCTTCGAGAGGGGCGGAGGAATAGAACCCGGCTCGGCCGGGCTGGCTGCGCACAAGGCAAATGCCCTACCGCTGTGCTATTACTCCAGCCCCCCTCCCCACACTAATGAGATGTGTGAAATTTGCTTCCAAATAATCTGAGTTTGTGTGTAGAGATGGCGCAGATGAGACAAGATCAGCTACAAGTGGGAGATGGCAGAAGCTTGGTTGGTATATTCACAGAGAACTAATATTTTCTTGAGTTTCACCTTGGTTTTCAAGTTTTTAAACCTCCCCCCGCCCAACTACATTGAACATGTTAAAATTAGTGTTTTGGGGAAATGGAGAGAAGAGATCTAATGGGAATAGATAATAAAATGACTAAATGAAATATATAAAGTAGAACAAACTGACAGGAAGGAAGGGAAGCCTAGGGATGGAGAGTTGGGGTGGGGGACGAGGGGAGAAACTTCTCTCCACCCCATCACCTGTTCCACAGGATGAGGCCTGTTCACTGAGTCACTGAATTCCCAAGCAAACCAACAAGGGCAATAATGTCCACTCTCATTTGCGAAAGAGGAAAACAACAGTTGAATGCAGCCACAAGGACCATGGCAGAACCAGAGTTAATCAAACACCGTGTCTAAGTTCTTTCTAAAACATGATGAAAACGGGAACCAGAAGTGTGGTCTTGGAGTCAGGCCAGTGCTGAGTGGGAGCCCTTCTCTGAACCATGACCAGGCAAGCTGCAGGAGCTTCTGCTGACCCCAGTGCCTGCCCCCTGTGCTGTTTCTTAGCATTCCCAACCTCCACCCATCACACATTTTCTAAAGAGAGGAAACTGCCTTGGCTGGTGGCTTGAGGACACGCAGTGGTCAGGCTGGGCATCTTGCAAGTCGCAGCAGCCCTGCCCCTGTCGCTCTTACCTTTACCCAGGACAGGGTGCCTCCTGCCTCCTGCGCCCTCTCCCGGAGGCCCGAGAGTCTCCGCTCCCTGCCAGACTGGGGGCTCTGGGTCTCGGGCTGCTCTCTCCGCACTGACTCAGCCGCAGATACCAGGATTCTCTCATACTCCCGAGACCCACTCGGCTCCAGTCCTTTGACAGTGGTGACTGTTTTCTGGAACGAGTGTGGGCCTCGCGTCACCTCCTCTTGCCAGAGACCTTGCGTGGTGTCTTGCAGGTATGAGACGATGGAGCCTTCCCCATCCCAGTCTGGCAGTCTGGGGGTCGGGAAAGGAGAGAAAACAGGGTGATCCTTCAGCCTTAGTCTCTCAGACAGCACCCCCTGCAGGATGCATCCTGCACTGCACATGGGAGAAAACAGCAAACTGTACCGCTGATCAATCCCTGTGAAAGGGCACGAATGGGTTATCTATGCTGCCTACTGGGAGAATGCCCTGGACACAGAGCCAGAGGCTCCCCCTTTGGAGAAGATCAAGTTCCTGAAGCACCAAGCACCCGATCTCATCTCCCTGTTTAGTCCTTTTGGTCACTGCACTCCCCAAACCTCACCTCAGGGCTCATCTGGGAAGGGGACCATTGCCTTGCCCCTGAAACAGGCTTGTGTGTCCCCCTGCTCCCCCTGAATACTCTACCCCCTTTCCCTGTCAGCACGTCTCCAGACTCAGCTCACAGACCTCATCTTGGTCTCTGTCCACTTCCTAGCAGAGCTCCTGGCTCCAGCCCCTCATGTGCACCTCCTGCCTGGGGTGTGAACCGTCCAACTGCGGGGTGTACATGCCCCCGGCCTCCACTGTGGAAGTCTAATGGGCATCCACACACAGACAACTCTGGGCACAAGACAAACTCTCCTTCCACACCTGTTCACCCAGCTCCCCACCACAGGAAGCAGCATCCTCGCCTTTTTCTGTGTCAGGCCAGGGAGGCCAGGACCCCCTCCAAAGCCTCTCACACTCTCCTCTAATGGCACTCCTCCTCCCTGTGCTTCTTGCTGCTACACTTCTATCATCATGCTCCATGTCACCTACTTACCCTGGCCAGGGAAGCTGGCTCTTCATGCAGTTACTGGAACACATCACTCCATGGCTTATAGCCTTCCAGTGACTACATCCCATCAACAGATTGCCAACTCCTCACGGGACCTCACAGCTCACAGGACCCATAACTTTTCTGACCTGGACTCCTGGACTCCTTTGCTCTCGGCACTGTCTCTTGGAGGTAACAAGGTGGACTTTTACCTCAAGGCCTATGCACTGGTTGAACCCCCTCCAAGATATATTTCTCATGTGTTCACATGCTAAAGTCTTGTGCGGGGCAAGGTGCAGGTGTGCTGTGCTATACCCAGTGGTGCGCAGAGGGTATTCCTGGCTCTGTTCTTAGGAATAACCCCTGGCAGTGCTCAGGGGTCCATGTATTAGGGTTGGGTACATGTAATGCAAAAGAAACTTAAACTCCTGTACTTTTCGGTCTTCACTCCAACGTTACTCTCTGGCTTCCTGTCCTGTCTGTGATTTTAACCACTTCCTTTTTCATACACATGTACATTATATACCTCTTCCTTGTTTTATTATTTTTAAGCACTACAATCAATCTCTTTTTAATTACTTTAAGTTTAATTTAATATTATTTTGTTTATTGTCAGCTTCCCCCCTAAAATATAACCTTCAGTCCACAGAGAATTACCCAATTCCTCTACAAATCAAAGGATTCACTTGTAAAACTAAATAAACCCTTGCCCTCTCGTATTCAGTAGAGCTTTCCTTCCCCTACTGTGCTGGATTTGGTCCCTCACACTCGGGGTGGGAAGGCTGAGGCACATGGAGGGTGGGAAGGGAAAGTGGGCACAGATTTCCCACAGTCTGGCCAGACCTGAGCTCCTGGCTGGCCACGGTCTTTCTGGAGCACAAGGACTTTCCTTGCTTTAAGGAAAATTTAGGAAGCACAGTGCCATGGAGGAAAAGACCCAATTAGTCTAATGATCTAACAGTGCTGATAATGACAGAGTGGACAGAGAGCCCGCTCACAGGGCTGGAGAAGACCCTTCCCGGGGTGGCATGGCCATGATCCTGAGACCAGAGCCGGAAGAAGTCTCGCACCAGTGCGCACGCCCTCCCTCTAAAGCAAACAGACCACCTGCCTGAACAGAACCCAGAAAAGGGACTGTGAACTGTCTGGTTCAATTCCTGGCACCATGTGACCCCTGAGCATTGCCAGGTATAGTCCCTGATGCCCTGAGCAGCTCCAGATGTGCCATTCAGGTGATCTGGGCGATGTCCAGCACTGCATGCATCTGCCGGCCTGCTGGCCTCACTGATCAAGAGTTACCAGGGGGTGCCCAGGGCTTCTAAACACCACTCAGGAGCCCACCCCCACCCCCCACGAAAATTAAGAGCAGAAACAGACCACACCAAAACCAAGCCCAGAAACATTACTTTCACTATATCAAATACTCCATTGCCCTCATTATCAGGGTCCCTGATGGGTGCTTGGGGCACTGGTTAAGCAGGTCAGTGCTGGCAGTGCCCAAGAACTGTCTGTGTCCTCACTGCCTGGCCCGACCTCCCGCAGGAGCCCCAGAAGGTGAGTCTTACCTGTCCTGGCTGGTCTCCATCACCCGACTCACGGAGGGGGATTCTGTGAAGCGGGCCTGCACCCTCTGCTGGCCTGAAACAAGAGACACTTCATTCCCTGAGTCGTGCCCTGCACCTGGCGAGTCCTCCTGCCTCTGAGGACCTGGCAGCTGCTCTTCTGACCTCTGACCTTCCTCCTGGTCAAGCAAATCGATAAGGCTATTTGTGGCATCTGAATGCACAGTGTCGTCCTCCACGAGGTCCAGAGAGCCCAGGGTGGGGCCCTGCGGTCCCTCGGAGAGCGCCCCCTCCAGCTTCCACTCGTGGCCGGTGGCGTCAGAGTCCTCGGCCTTGCTGCACTCCAGAGAGGAGTCCTCAGCAGTGACCAGCGAGGGCGTGAGGCCCGCAGACCACACCTGCATGTCAGACATCTCCAGCATGGCGTCATGCTCCGTGGCCGCCAAGGGGATGGAGTCTATGATGACCACCTCGTTCCAGTACTGGTCTGCACACAGCGGAGAGGGAAGCGCGTAGTGCAGGGAGGCGGGGGACAGCAGCTCGTCCTGCAGCGAGGAGTAACCTGGATGGGCAGACAGAGGGCAACATGCTCCAGAAGCGATTTTGGTCACACACGCTTGCGTGCACGCCCACGCACCCGCATAGGCACGGCCAGAGGTCGGCATGCACATTCCGGCAGGGCTTGTGATGCTCAGGCCTTGTGGCTACTGCCCAGGGTTCCCGGGCATGAGGAACAAGGCTCTGAGCTGCGCGCGGGCAGCCAGGGAGTGGGGCAGAGAGGAGGCTCCTTTGCTGGACGGCAAAGTCAGAGATTGGAACTCTTTCCGATCCAATTCAGGTGGCTGGCGGAGAGCCACGAGCCAAAGGTCTTACCCTCCAGCCCTACTTCTTGCTGGTGGACAGAAGGACATGCTGCCCCTCCCCATCCTTTAGAGCCAGAGCTTCAGCTCGGCAGGTGGGAGCACATGCTCTGCATGCTCTGCCCTGCCTGCATGCCCCGCACTGCATGACCTCCTGAGCACACAACCGGAGTCACCCTGAGCACCACCGCATGTAGCCCAGAAGTACAAACAAGCTCCCATCAGCACAGGCCTCAGGATTAGGTCCAGACGGTTTCTTAAAAGGAAGAGCAGCCTACTTGGAGCCAACACAGGGACAGGGCTCTATCCCGAGGGACTCAGTGCTGTGGCCAGAGGGCAGCCCTTTAGTTTGGTGATGAGTAACTTTCCCTCAAGTTGCCTTTTGGTCCCAGAAGTCCCAAATGATCTTAAATGGCACAAATGAGGGTATTAAAGTTTCTAAACAGGAGGCCGGAATAGAAGGCTTCATAGGGCACTCATTATCCCTGAAGAACTTTCAGTTCTTGGTCCTGTAGCTCCTTAGCCACATGCCCAAGCTGTTCCTCTAGTTCCAGGCAACAGGGGCCTGATGGGAAGGGAGCCACGTAGGCCTGGGCCGGAAGCACATACCCTGCAATCGGCATAGCCTACTGCCCAGGGCATGAGGACAAGCTCAGACAGCAGCTGCAGGCATCTTTCTGGACACTAGGGGCTCGCCCCTGATGCTCAGAGTGGCCCTTAGACTCGTGTGGATGGTTGTGAGTGTGTTGGGCAGGCACATTCAGTTTAAAGATTCCCACCCCTCATCCAGCCAGGAGAGGGATCCCTGTTACAGAAGGAGGAGAGTGTCTGATTCCCCGTGCGCCAATCTATAAGTGGGTGAAGGAGCTAGAAGACAAGATTCTCCATTTTGCTCAGCTTGTGTGCCTGCGGAGAATCGAGCCAAGCAAGAAGGACCTAGTGGGGTTCACTGTACAGTCCTAGGGAACTTCCTGTGCTCAAAGACACCCCCTAACATCATGTCAAACTGGACTCTGCTATTCATCAGCTCTGAAGCCCTCTGCCTTGCACTTGCCCTAACTCTTCCCTGAAGCCGGCCATTCTCAGAGGAGGGGCCTTCTCCACTCCCTGCTCTGGGCTTCGGTCTTTGCTCTCCGTTTTCCAGAGGATGAAAGACAGAGTCCTTTGACTATATCTCCAGCTTTCCTCTTTCACTTGTTTGTTCTCTCCAATACTACTGAGGTCTGTTTATATGCCTGGTTTGGAGGTCACAAGCACACAAGCTTACCAACAGGTTTTCGTGTTCCTTTTTTTCTTAACATTTTCCTAATGAGTTCAGCTCACCTTGATTTCTGCCTGTCCCTGAACTTGGCTGATATTCTCCTATTGCTAAGGTCAGGACTGATAACCCACTGATTCCTGTAACCACCGTAGGGGTCTCCAGATGTGCGAGGGGCAGACAGGTGCCAGAGCAGTGACCCCACCCATATTTCTAAAACCACAATTTTCACAGCATCATGAATGTGTGTCCAATGTGCTAGAAGCTGTGCTATACGACTGACATACAATTTCTCAGTAGTTTTTTTGCTGACTGATTTTTACAACTTTATGTGGTTCCAGGTCCTAATCTTAGGAGAAGGAGAAAGAGGCCATAGTTGATGGGTGGCTGTTAAGTAGCTATGCAGTGGTAAGGGTTGGGAAAGTAGGAGAAATGTTTAGGTCAATGTCACTAATTCAAGTAATTGGATGTGAAACTCTGACCTATGAAGTTGGGAAGACTGAGAATATGGCCTTCAAATGTGACCTCTACAGTAAAGAAACTTTTTAGAATCAAGTGACTATTTTTCTTCGTATTTCTCTTGAAAGAATTGCTATATATATATATATATATATATATATATATATATATATATTTGCTGCCTGAGCCCATGTGCTGCTTGTGCCCATGTGACCGAGCACATGTGGCACTCAAGCACATATGTTGCCCACATCTCCCCTCTTGAGATGTGTACTTTCATACTTCCCTACATAATGCTAAGGTGTGTCCGCAGGGGCTCTCTCTGCCTTTGGAGAAGCTCGCATTCTCTTTGAGCACATTACTTTACCTCCCTATCTCTTCTTCCATCCCCTTCCTCAAAACTCTCCAAATAAAATCTATTTTACTTAAAAAAAAAGAATTGCTATATATTTTTGTTATCAACTGAGCACCTATTTTCTATAAGAACGTATAAGATGTGTCAACATAATACAGCATATTAATGAAAGAAAAATAAAAGCCAAATGATCATATCAATAGATGCAGAGGAAGCATTTGGCAAGATCCAGCACCCATTCATGATAAAAACTCTCAACAAAATGAGAATTGAAGGAAGTTTCTCAATATAGTCAAAGTCATGTACCACGAGCCCACTGCAAACATTATACTCAACGGGGAAAAACTAAAATCCTTCCCTCTAATATCAAGGTGGTTGCCCACTCTTGCCACTTCTATTCAATATAGTACTGGAAGTACCTTCCATAGCAGTTAGGTGGGAAAAAGATATCGGGAGCATCCAGATAGGAAAGGAATAAGTCATGCTATCACTAATCATAGATGAGATGATACCATACTTAGAGAACCCTAAAGGCTTTACAGAAAAGCTTCTAGAAACAATAGGTTTCTAAACAGAGAAGCAGTTTACAAAATCAATACTCCCAAATCCATGGCTTTCCTATATACAAATAATGAAATTGAAGAAAGAGATATTTTTTAAAAACCCTTGTATACAATTATGCCTCAGAAAATTAAGTACCTTGGAATCAGCTCAACTAAAGAGGTGAAAGACCTATAAACAGAAACTACGAAACACTAGTTCAAGGAGTAAAAGAAGACACAAGGAAATGGAAACATGTCCTCTGCTCAATCATTGGGAGGATTAATAGCATCAAAATGGCAATACTCCCCAAAGCATTGTACAGATTCAATGCAGTCCCTATACGATTACCCTTGTCATTAAAAAAATAGATCAAACACTCCTGAAATTCATTTGGAACAATAACCTCTCCCATCACTTCCCAAATAGCTAAAACAGTCCTTGGGAAAAAGAAGATAGGAGAGATCACTTTCCCAATTTCAAACTGTACTACAAAGCAGTAATAACCAAAGCAGCGTGGTATTGGATCAATAGATTATCCTGAGACAGACCCTCAGATATATGATTAGTTAATCTTTGATAAGGAAACAAAAAATATGAAATGAAGCAAGGAAAGCCTCTCCAAGAAGTGATGCTGGGAAATCCGGTCAGCTATATGGAAGAAAAGAATTGAGACCACTTTCTAATGCCATGAACAAAAATCAAATCAAAATGGGTTAGAGATCTTGATATTAGACTTGAGTCCATAATGTACATAGAGAAAAATGTTGATGTGCTCTCCATGACATTGAAGTTAAAGACTTCGTCAAGGATGAAACACCACTGACTAAGTAAGTGGAAGCAAAGATAAAAAAAGAAACTACATTCAATTAAGCAGTGTCTGCACTTTAAAGAAAATGATGAGCAGAATACAAAAATAGCCATGGAATGGGAAGAAAAAAATTTACCAACATTCATTTGATAAGGGTTTAATATTCAAGATTTAAGGCACTGTAGAACTTTATAAGAAAAAAATATACAACCCCATCAAAAATGGGAGAAGAGATGAACAGAAGCTTCTTCAGAGAAGAAATGCAAATGGTTAAAAGGTACATGAAAAAGTGCACTACATAACTAATTATGAGGGATATGCAAATCAAAACCACAATGAGATATCATCTCACGCCAGAGAGACTGGCACACATCAAAAAGAACAACCAGTGCTGGTGTGAAAGCAGAGAGAAAGGGGCTCTATTGATGGCTGATGGGAATGCCAATTGATTAAGTCTTTCTGGAAAACATTATTCCTCAAAAAACTAGAAATTGAACTTCCATATGACCCAGCCACACTGCTCTTGAGAATATATCCCACTAAACCAAAAACACAATGCAGAAATCCATCTGCATTCTTCTGTTCACTGCAATACTGTCCACAATAGCCAGAATCTGGAAACAACCTAAGTACCTGAGAACAGAGGAGTGGATAAAGAAACTATGGTAGATCTATACAGTGGAACATTTAGCAGCGGTTAGGAAAAATGATGTCATGATATTTGCTTATACATGGATGGACATGAAGAGTATCATACTGAGTGAAATGAGTCAGAGGGAGAGGGACAAATTATAGAATGATTGCATTCGTTTGCAGAATATAAACAAAACAAAACAGTATGTGAAAATAACCAAAGACAGTAGAAACAAGGGCCAGAAGGAATTTTTCCTTCATGATTGGAAGTTTGTCACAAGGGTGAGGGGGGGAGTACAGATAGGACAGAGAAGGGGCCATAGGTCAGTGATAGTTGGAAATGATCACTCTGGACAAAAATGAGTGCTGAAAGGACGTAAAGTGATAGGTATAATCAGTAGCAGTAACAGTAACTTTGCTGTTACCCATTAAATAACAATATTTCAACCCACAATGCTTGAAAGGAAAATTATATATGTGTATATATATGTGCATATATATATACATATATATATATATATAGAGAGAGAGAGAGAGAGAGAGAGGAAAGGTGTCTGCCAAAGAAGCAGGCTTCGAGGGTGAGAAACTGGGGACACTGGTGGAGGGAAATAAGCATTGAAGAGTTGGGCATTGTACGGCTGAAATT